ATGGGCCTGTCTCTTATACACATCTAGATGTGTATAAGAGACAGCTACAACCCATGTCTAAGCAAAAGCTTGTCGAGGAGCGAGGGGAAGAAGGGAGAGAGATACGGGAGAACAAAAACCCTCATCATACTGGCACGGAGACTCGTGGTTGCACCACAGCATCAAAGTTAAAAGTAGAGGGACAGAAGGCCCTAAGTTTATTTTGCCCATCCGGGTCGTCATCGGCGTGTTCTGGCGTTGCACACGCCCCACTTCCATCCGAGGCGAAAAACATGCGCATGCATTTTGTGTTTAAAAAACAAAAACAAACGCTGCTGCTGCTGCTGCCTCTCAGACTGGCAGAGGGTCCCTGGCTTGCGGGTGAGATTGTGGTCCGCATTTTTGGCGAGTAATCTGCGTACACGAGACCATTTTCCAAACGAATTTCTTCCCAAGAGAGCCTGAGACATGTACTGACGGCACACGCGACGGCAGGAGGTGCCACAACTCCAGCGAGACAAACCCGCCTGCGACGTGGGGGGTAGTCGGATTTCGGCTCGCACCTACCCCGGGGTCTTGCCCTCACGAGGTCATGACACAAGGACTCACCGTGAATAAATCCCGCGGTGTCCTGGCAAATAACCACCCTTTTGATGGTGTGGTCCTGCCCTGCGAGTACGACAGCGGGCTCCACCCCGGGTGTCGTGTGCGAGCGTCATGAAAGTGGGGCGGAAAAGGGGCGGAAAATATTGTCCCTGGGTTGCTCCATGCACGCCTGCATACATTGCATAAGTTGAAAACCACGGGTAGGCTCGCGTAGCTCTGCGCTTCTCTGTCAGCATCCAATGGTTTATTGTTATTGTCATGCCATGTTGCATATTAGCATATAGCATATAGCAGTTAGAAGGGGTCTTCGCAGAATAGGAAAGAGGCATACTCTCCACACTGTCGCAGCGCCTCGCGAACGTATGGAAACCTTTTTTCAAATTCGCAAGCTCCCGGCACATCGGCACATCAATCGGTGGCACGGCCCGAACGACGCCGCTCCTCTCGCCCACCCATGCAGCTGGCATAGCTTCTGTGCTGCTGCTTCTCCATCGTCGTTTTGCTTCTTCTGCTGCTGCACTACTGCGATCTTTTCGTGTCGAATCTTCAGGTAAAATGGGCAGCACGCTCGGAGCGCCGTGGTGTTCGTGTCACCGTCCGCGCGTCTGCCCACGATGCAAGGGTGGTACCGCGGGCGCTTACTCATGCTTGATATTCGCCAGATAGTCTTGAACAAAATACTATTTGCCGCACCCGCCATATTCCCTGTGATATTCCTGCGCTCTGCAAGTGCCCTACGCGGATCGAAATGTGGATCAGACTCGATCGACAGGATCCTTGTTCCTGGCTAGCGAGAATGTACAATGTTGGCGAACAGCAGCAATCTCTTCCCACCTGTTGTCTACTACAGGCTGCCCTGGCTGCTGTCCATCGACAATGCGCGCTTTGTTAACTTCAGCGGAGTTCTACATCGTTGCAAAGAAAGAACCCCCTTTGTAGCATGCACAATATGCAGCTGCACCTTGAACAACACGCAAACCTAAGCAACACGGAGAGGATTTTGGTGCCAAAGGAAATCATTTTTGACGTGCTGGAAACCATAAAAAATGCGGGTAAACCCTTGGATGTACGATCAATTGTAAAGTTCGATTGTCACGCAAACAAGAGGCTGATGCCGAAAAAAGTGATTCTGGAAAAGCTCTGGCCGAGAACTTGTCCTTTTCCACGTGTCGGTCGTGTTTCGCACCGCACCCCTCCGTTGTGGAGCAGTCGATCGTCGAAAATCGATCGATCTCACACCCGGGTGCTTCGCCCGCACTTTCTTACCGTAATTGTGCCGTTAATAATGTTGGGGTATGGACATGATGCTTAGAGCTTTGCACCCACAAGATAGAAGTGTTAAGAGTAGCAGCATTGTCTCTCCCATCCTCCAATGGTCTAGCAACTAAGGCATGCAGAACATGAGTACGCCCCCTTCCCCTACGCTCATAGCCCCGTGCCATTGTCGCCCCCCTCGCTGGACGCCTCCCTCTTCCGACGCCCCCTCCTCTCCCCGAAGACAACGCATCATGCACCCAACACATCATTCCCAGGGTCAAGGCTACACCCACTCCGATAGCGACGGTTCTTTCGAAAATGAAGACGGTGCTCCCCGTCCAAGACGCGGCATCAGCGACCAGGGTGGTGCAAGCGGTAGAGGCGCGGGGGCGTATAGACGGCGGCGGCTGGATGATGGCTCCGGGAGTCGGAGGCCGCGACGGCGGCATCGGCCTGCCACCGGCCACCGCGCAGAGGATCTGAAGATGTACGACCCTAAGGACATAGGCGAGTGCCTCGCGTGCTGTCGCCGTGTGCACTCCATGGTGGTGCTTGTGAAGGGATGTTTGCATGTAGCCGGGACCAGCGGCGTACTCTCTGAATGCGGACCTGTGTGACCAGCTCGCCCTTCGCACCGATACTTGTGACGGTGTTTCCCGCATGCACGACTATGAGTACTCCCCCCCCC